CTCCATCTTCTCCTTTAAGATTTTAAGGTTCAGTCGCTTCAGTTATGCCGCAGTGATGAGTCGCCGAAAACTCCATCCAGCTGCTCGAGATGAGCCACAAAGCATTCGACCATGGCGACCGCCATTTGAGAGTACGCCGTGGCCACCGAACAAACCACGGATTCGGCGGGTCAAGATTTTCCGCAAACATTAAAGACGAAAAGCGTGACACAAGCGAAAGTGCTACCGCCAGGGGAGAGAACCCAACATGCGTGCAACTGCTCGAAGCCGAAATGAGGGACTTCCGGGAGAACTTCAAATTAACCCTTAATTAGGCGCATGGGGTCAAAGCCATTTCAAGTTGAAAAAAAATGTCTTGGAGTGACTCGCGCTCTTTCTAGCTTCGTAACTCCCGCGGGGTACGTAAATTACCCAGAACATCGACGTGTACACATGTGGCGCTACTCTTACAAGTCCTGACCCCATGCTTTTCTTTCTTATCTCTCTATCTCAGAATTTTATTGAAGAACGCCCTATCTCAGCTGCTGATTCAAAAACGCCCTATCTCCGCACATTTTCAATGTATTTTCGTTTGAGATAGGGTGTTCTTCAAACAAAATCCTGAGATAGGGTATTTTTCAATAAAATTCTTAAATAGGGCGTTCTTCAATCAAATTATGAAGAAGGGCGTTATTTAAAAGTTTTCTGAGATAGAGCGTTTTCGAACTGGCTGCTGATATAGGTCGATCTTCCACTCAGCCATTGATTAATAGTTCCCACTTCTATTTCAGGTTTCACTAGGTGGTCACTAAGTTCAGGAAGGAACATTATACGTCGGTTTGTAGAAGCCTTCTGGTGTGGGATGTCTCCACGTAAATCATGTACATACGTATCAAAGGCAGCCACATCTAGGATATTATAAAATAACGGTAAAGGACATCTATTCGTTTGCCGCTTAAGTGAATATTCTGCTAAGCGTTTAACCATGTTATTAACGTCCCCTTTGGTTTTGTTGTGATTTAATATCAAAAGTGACTTTTTCTTTAGACCTCTTACTTCGGTTTTGTAATATTATATACAAATTAAGGGTAATTTTCTGTTTTATTTAAATAAAGTATTCAATTGTACAACTAATTAGAATTTTTTTTGTTTAAAATATTTTGTATAACAAAAACTTGGTACTTTTTCCTTTAAGTGTCTTTCTCAAATTTTTATATACGAAGTTTACAAATATGTATATCATAAGAAAGGGAGTTTAATCGCCTTTACAATGGGACCAATTGTTTAAAAATCGTTTGGTAATTTTTTTGCTAAAAATATTTTTTTTAAAAAAATGTTATTTTTTTAAATGCGGTTTGTCTCAAGTTTTCATATACGAAGTATACAAATATGCATTTCAGAAGAAAGGGCGTTTAATCACCTTTACAACGCTACCAACCTTTTAAAAATCGGTTAGTAATTTTTTTGTAAATTTTTTTATAAAATAGGTATTTTTTCTTTAAATGTGTTTTTTCTAAAATTTTTATATACGGAGTATACAAATATGTATATCATAAAAAGGGGAATTCAATCGTCTTTACAACGACACCAATGTTTTAAAAAACTGTTAGTGATTTTTTTGATTAAAATATTTTTTTTTATAAATAAAAGGTATTTTTTAATTTAAATGTGTTTTTTCTAAAAATTTTATATATGAAGTAGAGGTTTACGCCGACACGCCTGGCGGCGGCGGCGTGGTCAACTTCAAAAAGAATCGGCGACGCCGGCTCGTCTGGAAACACCGGCGCTATTGCCCATGAGGTAGATTTCAAAGAGCCATGAAGCTACTCATCTTATCATGTCATCTCGTCAGCGTTAGGCATTCACCATGCCAATTCAGATTATAATTCTATGTAATTTATTCATTGAACTAGTTTTAAATTTAAATTACTATGGACGAACAGAAGAACGGCTGAGGTATATACATACATACACAAATGGCTCTGTATGTTCTCTACTCCCTGCAGGAAATGTATCTAACTATAAGCTAACTTTAAGTTGATTAGGAAGGAGCTAAAAGTCACTTATTATCTGTATATTTTCTTTGACGAAAGCTAAACTATATTTCCATGGCGATGGACGCGAAATAGTCTAGGGTGGTTTACCTCTGCATTAGATGTAACTAACTTGTAACTACCTACTTTTGGACATAAAATATCAACAGGAAAAACTAAATATTTTTATTTTATTCTATTTTATTTTTTAATTTTTATTTACTTTATTACATTTCATATTTGTTTTCATATTCTGCTGTAGGTGGTCCCATATTCGAACTCTGTCAGACATAAATTCAAAATGATAATATGAAATTTCGATCTTCATTTTACTTGTCCTCAGCGCGTTTGTTCAAACGCGATTAAAGAAAATAATCTCCTTCATTACTTCTGCATTACTTGTCAACTAGTTTCAAGCTAGCTTTTTGTAGTTAACTACAAGTTATATATTTTATAGAAATCCCGCAAAAAAGCTAACTACAACTGGGTTATTTTTTATCAATTGATAATTTTTTTCCGCAGAACAGATCCGTATGTATTATTTAAATTTAAAGAAATAAAAAATTTTAAAAGTTAGGTTATTGGGATAAACTATGTCGCTACCAAAAAATGTTTGCAATTATCTTATCAACCGTTATGTTAAATTACGGAGTTCTTACGATTTTTTGCGGATTACATATTGAAAACAAGGTTGGTCTACTTTTTCCAAAAGTTAAACCCATCAACTCGAACCAGAACGGGTCTTTTTTACCCACTGTTTGAAAAAATGGCTTATAGATGGTTAAAATGTCCACTAAAATATTAAGCGCAAACTTTTTCTAAGGAGAACCGAATGTAATGAAAAATAATACTAATTTTTACCAAAAAGGGGGAACTTTAACCCTTTGTTGCAAACGTTGCGATGCGTGCAAAACCTTCCTGGGGTTTGGCCACCATTAAGGAATGCTACCGTAATTTTCACACAGCCACCTAGTACTTGTATACGTATGTGGGACCCCAGAATAAAATAACTTACGAATGTAAAAATTAGCAAAAAACAGTGTTTGCTCTTTATTTAAAGTCTGTTTAAAATTAAAAAAAAAACTAAAAAATTACTCAGGAAAATCAACTTGTCTTTGTTTTATCTCTAATAATTGAGGAGTTAGATGGAATGGGTTAGATGAACAGAAGCTGCTTCGGTTAAAACTGCTTTCTGAGATATTGGCGTTAAAGTATTTGATGTGTTATAACTTTCTTGTTGTTGTAGTATTGGAAAGAGTTGTCTACTGCGGAAAAAATTTAACTGTAATAAAGGCTTTCGATCGAAAAATATGTTACCTATGTTTTTTCTGAGTTACGCTCGTTTTGGAAAAATAAAGGAGATCATATTCTTGTCCAGTGGCCCAAATTATGCAATCAAGAATTCCTTTAAAAGAGTAATTTTCATTTCGTAAAATTGTGTTTTTTAACGAGTAGTATTTAGTTCCTTCAAACGATGTATTTCAATGTACATACATCATGAAAATTTTGTACTAAATTCCTTAGGCGCCGAACGCCGCGCCGCTGTCGCCGCGCCGATATTTTCATAACTCGGCGGCGGCGCGTGTGGAATGACAAAAATNCAATCCTTAGGCGCCGAACGCCGCGCCGCTGTCGCTGCGCCGATATTTTCATAACTCGGCGGCGGCGCGTGTGGAATGACAAAAATCGGCGGCGGCGGCGTATACCTCTAATATGAAGTATACAAATATGCATATCGGAAGAAATAAGGTTCAACCGCCCTTACAACGATAAAAATCAGTTCAAAATATTTTGCAATATAAGGAATTTAATTTTTTCGGAGACCTTAATTTTGACCCCTTATATCACCTGTAATATAAGTTTGCACAAAAAAAGTTATATGCCATTTAAATACGAGCAAAAGGAGGACTACGTCTATATTTTTAGGTTTTTAGTTATTTACATGCAATAATTAAATATACTTTTTTACCAAAGATCCTATTTCGAAATTCGAAGGCTAACTTCGGAAAACGGACAAATCCCTGTTTTACCTATGACTCAATCTCTTAAGAAAAATTAGTTTGGTCAAATACCTAGAAAAGAAGTTCATTTTGCCGTACAGTGTTATATGGAGGAAAGCTTCTCAAACAATATTGATGAAATATTGTCGAGTTAAGTTGTNCAAGAATTCCTTTAAAAGAGTAATTTTCATTTCGTAAAATTGTGTTTTTTAACGAGTAGTATTTAGTTCCTTCAAACGATGTATTTCAATGTACATACATCATGAAAATTTTGTACTCAATCCTTAGGCGCCGAACGCCGCGCCGCTGTCGCTGCGCCGATATTTTCATAACTCGGCGGCGGCGCGTGTGGAATGACAAAAATCGGCGGCGGCGGCGTATACCTCTAATATGAAGTATACAAATATGCATATCGGAAGAAATAAGGTTCAACCGCCCTTACAACGATAAAAATCAGTTCAAAATATTTTGCAATATAAGGAATTTAATTTTTTCGGAGACCTTAATTTTGACCCCTTATATCACCTGTAATATAAGTTTGCACAAAAAAAGTTATATGCCATTTAAATACGAGCAAAAGGAGGACTACGTCTATATTTTTAGGTTTTTAGTTATTTACATGCAATAATTAAATATACTTTTTTACCAAAGATCCTATTTCGAAATTCGAAGGCTAACTTCGGAAAACGGACAAATCCCTGTTTTACCTATGACTCAATCTCTTAAGAAAAATTAGTTTGGTCAAATACCTAGAAAAGAAGTTCATTTTGCCGTACAGTGTTATATGGAGGAAAGCTTCTCAAACAATATTGATGAAATATTGTCGAGTTAAGTTGTTGAAAAATATTGAATATCTAAATCCCGGGACTAATCCTGGGATTCCGGGCTTGGAATAACAAGATCCCGAAAATCGCGGGATTTTAAAAATCGAATAAATGAACATCCCTAAATGCATATATAAAAATGATTTTCTTTCAATTGCTAACAGCGTTGACATTCGAGCTGGAATATCAAAAGTTGCAAGGCGATGGTCAGATGAAACCGCTTTTGGAGACAGAGCCCATCTTACACTTGATAAGGGGCCGTGGAAGTTAACTATTCGCAATAGTCAAGTGTCTGATACTGGAGCGTATAGATGTCGGATAGATTTTGAGAAGTCACAAACGCATAATTGTCGAATCGTATTGACGGTAATAGGTAAGATATATAATTAAAATCTAATGTATATGGGTGTTCTGATTTTATTTGAATAAAAACGAGTCGCTCTTTACATAGCTTTGCCTAAGGAGGTCATCATTCTAGACGAAAAGGGTGCTAAGCGCTCTACCGTAGTTGGACCTTACAACGAGGGTGATTTTGTAATACTTTATTGTGAAGCTGTCGGAGGTACGTTCATTATGCATATAATATAAAAATTTATTAACGGACATTGGATTTGAATAATGGACCATGTTTGCATGTTGCTGATTAAAATCACTTTTAGTAAATCTAGACGTTCACTTTGGTAAATTAGTTTTCAATACTGTAATTATAGTTTGTAGGAATATGCAACTTGATTTGCGGGACTAAGGGTCTTATATAACCGCTGCCATGTTGTATACAAGGATGCTTGACTTTCTTCTAACTCAGTGAAATGAGTCATTTCAGGACCGCTAAACGACTTGTTCTAAAATTTTACACCCGCAAAATAGTTTAGTAATACATAAAATGTCATAGCTGAATATGGAGAAATAAATACATATATACATATCTACTTTCTTGGATAAAGTAAGCCTTTTAGTGAAGCATATTATTTGACATAAATGTTACTTTGCTATAGCTATAAAATCACTGTCTTAAATGGACCATGCTGAAATTTATATCACATTATTCTTGACGAATAACAAATTTCAGCGCTCTTCCTACACCATTGACAAAATTCGTCGTATGAGTATTATCATAATCAGGGCCGAAGAAAATAATCAATAAAAAAGCAATTTGAACACTTAGATAAGCACTAAAACATTAGTAAATATGCTCACAAGTATGTTCGAAAAACAACAACAAAAATATATTCAAGTACAGTGTAGCGTTTTGTCTTTTATTCAGTTTATTTCAAGGATTGAAAATTTACAATAGACAATCAAGTGCTGCTTGATATTCTCAAATAAGAATGATCTGCGCCGCGCAGAAATGCAATTGAAGTTAGGAGTTAATAAAAACCAAACCTCTTTTTATGTTATTATTTGTAAATATTTCTTTAGTTGAACGAATAAAAAAAACGCCCCTAATTTTATTGAACCCAATTTTCTTAAGCAGTACGGAGTTCTAAAGAAATTTGCTATGCTTTCTACCATAGCTTTCTAAAGTTTTTCTTTGTAAAGAGCACTAGGCTTCCTTGTTTTCAGCAGAAAAATATGCACGTTCCATTATTTCGTAAAGAAAAAGTGAGACGGCAGGCTGTAAAATATCAGATGTCAAAACACCTTGGACACTGCTAATCACACACACGAAATAATATAAATTTATTTCTTGGCCGTTTTCTTAAAAGGGCCGTACTTAGCTTTATTCATTGAAATAAAAATTAATCTTTGAAACCCTGTGTTTAAGCCGCCGCTTAACCACATTACGATGGCCGTGGGCGCAATCCTTGGTCGCAGCAGTTTGGTAGTTGACCAACGTCAACTCCGAAAATATAAGTACCGAGCGCGCATGGCTGCCTACCGGAGTGTCCAGATTTGGCGATTTCGCCCCAATTTGCATATTTGCGCGAAAAAAATTTAGGAAATCGCCATTGGCGATTTTTTCCCTACAAATAAATTTTTTCCAAGTATAAAACTATACAAAACTTAGTTTTCCACGATAATTTTACAGAAGAGGCTAATGAACTTAACTTAACAAGCATATTAAAAGACTGCCAAAAATGTTTAATCATGCTAATCGAAGAACTTTTGAAACGATTACCTAGTCAATTAAATACTTTTAAAAAGCTTTGATTTTGTCACCAGAAAAGTGTGTGAATCACAACAGGGCGAGTTTCAGGGACCTTTGACTTTGAAAAAAATAAAAGCAGCGGAAACTGAATATTTAAATCTTTTAACTTTCCCATGGATTAACTTTTCTCAGAACCATTCCATCCGACTCTGACGAATTTTGGATAATTGCTTACGGAGTGAAAACTGCAACAGGCATGGGCGTAGCCAGGTAGGGGCAGGGGGTGCTTGAGCCCCCCCTAACTTTCAAATTTTCCTTATATATATATAAAATAATACCCTGGAATGCCAGCTTAATAGGGTCGAGCCCCCCCCTAAATTTCATTCTGGCTACGCCGATGGCAACAGGCAAAAAAATGTTATTATTATACTTGCCGCACTTACATGCTTTGTTGAGCGCGTTTTTTCCGTAATGAATTCAACAAAAACTAAGATTCGAAATAGGATGAGGTTGGAAAGCCTCAATTCAATAGTTCGAATAAAGTGTAATATGAAGGCTAATAGTTTCTGCTGCAAGACGTTTCCAATATCAAACAGTATGTTTATATAGGTGATTTTGAAGAAAATGTGGAAATAGCGGATCTCGCCTTAGTATAGGTTTTTATTTAATTTTTAGCGCCGAGCTCTTAAAAGCGGATTGTGCGATTAATCAATTATTATGAGTTATAATAAATTTAATAATTTCGCAGTCGTATTGCAAAATGTGTTGAAACAAATATTTTTAAAAAGTATGCTTATTTTTAAAGAAAATTGTTTGTACATCATTATTATATAAGTGATTTTTGTTATTTATTATTACCCTCTGAAGGTATTATATTAGTTTTTGGTTTTAAAAACTATATAACAAGATCTCATTTTTAAAATAAAAGGTTTTTTAAATCGATTGCATGAATTTTATTTAAAAAAACAATTGGCGATTTTTGGCGATTTTTTTTCAGAATTTGCGCTTTTTTTTTAAACCACTTAGTTTTAATAACCAATTAGTTTTAATAACAAACAACACACACTTTGCTGTGAGCAGAGTTTGTTTTCCACTAATGCACACACGTGTGAACGACCAATGAGTGCAAGTTGAATGTGTTTCGGGCGTGTGCGTACGCATAGCATATGTGTCAAAATACGATTCCTAGTAAAAAGTGAGGCTGGAATTGAACCAGTGAATGATATAAAAAAAGTGATAAATATTGAATATAAAATATAGAAAAACTTTGTTTGAATTGCTAAGTTTTGTTTATTATGCAAATCTTCATTCATAAGTAATTTATGCTATAAGTATTGCATCGCGATGCTAAAAATTTATTTTTTACCATCAAATGGATTTTTTAAATATATATATTTTGTAAAAAATTAAATATTTTATTTTTTACACAAGACTAAAAATGTACTTAAAAGTACTTAATTTTCGCCGTTGAAAATCGCAGATGTATTTATATCCACGAAAAAAAATCTCGCCACCCTAATCGAGAATGACACCACTTTTTCGGTTGTTGGACCAGGAAAATATTTTTTGCGCAAACCTTTAGTATACCTTCCAGCAACATTTGTGGAAATATATCGCTGCCGATTACAATACATATCAGTGAGCTGGTATGTGGCAACTTGGGTCAGCAAAGTTCAAGGAGCTTGAATCGCTGCCGGTTTTCACGGCTAATGTCGGCATGTGCCTCATGAGTTGAGGTAACACGTGTATTTATCCGTTGCATGGCTTGCAACCAATGAAAGTGGACAAAGTTTTGAGGAGCTTTATACGAGGTGTCCGCCCATGCCCTAAATTTCGAACTTGGAATGTTCGAATGGTACTTTCAACCGTTTCTGAACTTTTGAGGAAATGAAAGTTCTTTGTGAGCCTTGATCAATCAAGGCTCTAAGTTGAAACAATTCTCCCTCGTGTTATCCTTCGACCATGGCAGTTGGAAGGAGAATTTCGCCATCATTGTCTGTGGCCAATGATTGTATTTGTGCTTGATTTGAACAGCACGGTTGCTCGCTGGAGTTGGAGCTTGACTGCGCTTGTCAAGTGGGAGATGTCGACTGGACAGTAGTGTGTTGTGTGGCGGTTTCATTCGCTCGCACACTAGAGCGTCGAGATTGTAGTTTGGAATTCATGTGCAGCAGGGAGTAATACCGTTGTTGGCTATGTGTTCATCACCACTTGCTCGGACACTCATTAGTGCTGTGAGTATTACCAAAACAGATTTTGCACAGCTTGGTTTAGTTTGCGAATTGTACTCGGTTCGGTACCAATATTCGCTTAAATTGTGGGCAGACTCTAATAGGACGAGGGCACTTGCAGTTAGAGCAAGTAGTTTCCCTCTTAGGTTCTGCAAGAAAGGTTTGAGTCCTGTTATAGAATCTGTTTTGCGCAGCATTTTGATGAGCGACTGGTTCTTGTTTATTTTGGCTTAGATGAAGCCTGTTCAACCTTTCGACTACTTCGTATCTTGAAGTAAGAAAATCATTCGTTTGTGGCCATGAGAGCTAATCTTTCCATGAAGAGAGAGATTGATTCCAAAGTGACAGTGTGGTTTCCGGCAACCTTGATGAGCATATGTACACCAATATGGGATCCCAACTGTCTGAACGTCTTGCGCATTAGGAACTGACAGACAGTTGTTGATTGATGATTGGAGCCTTTGAAGTTGCTTGCTATTTTCTGATTGAATAGTGGGCAAGGTCATTAAAATTTTAATATGGTTGTCAACCAGGATACGTTTGTTTTCGTATCGTCACCATAAAGCTTCTCAGGCCAGATCGAAGTTATCATCGCTGGGCTGGTATTACTTGACGATGGAACCGGCTTTTCCTTGGGCTTTGTATCGGAGGTAATTCAATTTCTGAGCACGGGAAAGCTTCGGGTGGTTGAATTACGTGAAACGCGGGCCATTCCTCGTAACCACCATAAAAGGTCTCCGCGTCGCAAGGTGGGACTTGAAGAAAAACGTGTGCCTTTGCCGAGATTTGTTCCTCGCTGGGTGGTGTACACGACGCGGCGATTTCTCTAATCAACGACAGTTGATCGGCAACTTTGGTCACCTCGTATAATTCACGGAAAGTTAAGAATTTTCCTTCTACCGACTTTCCTTCTATAACACTTTGACATTTTTTTAGCCGCTTTTGTTTCTTTCATCTGACACATATGCATTTTAAAATAAAGGTAGTTTATATATAAGTCGGTATATCATAACATACACTAAGTATAATATATTGTATGGCCTTCAAATAGTTACACAGAATAAGAAAAAATTTACCAATCGAGCCTTGGTTTCACAATTTCCTTGAAAAAGCGAGCAAATGCTTTTGTGTCCAAATACTAGAGTTGTAAAACTATCGATAGTGCTACCATCAATAGTTTTCCTGTTTCAGAAAAAAACTATCTTTACTCGTTGATAGTTTTCAGCAATACTATGGATAGTG